GTACAATACTCCATGTTACATTTTTTCCTTAATTCACTCCAACTCATCATGATATGTTAGGTAAAGAGGATTGGACGCTATAAAATAATATTTTAAATCAAATATTTTGTATTACAGTACGTAAAAGAATAAGGTAATATTTGTTATTACATATCGATACAAAGGATGTGATCTATCATGGACCGCTATAGACGTATAAGTTTAAAAGACAAAAATATAAAGGAGTACAACCTAGTTTCTATAAAATAAATAATCCATAACAAGCAAGATACAACTAGAAATGTGTGTTTCGTGACTAATTAACCTATTGAAACTATAGTGTCAAATGCTCAAGATAATTAGAGTTAGTTTCATTCTCAAATTCGTGTGTGACATTTAGTAACTAGTCCAAGGCTTATGAGAAATCTCAAGAAATAAAATATGAAATCCTTCCTTTATTAAGCATCATTAAATGTTTAGAAATCAATTTAACATAAAATTAATCAACAAGTTGGATAATGATGATCGTCTATGTTCAGACTTGTTGTCTAATCACATTTTTGGTACATGATACTGAATAATACGATTGACGATATTTGCTATATAATTCACTTTATCTTACAAACCTTAAACGTATTAAAATTACAATAACTTACCAAATTCAATTATGTGTTTTTGAACCATAACAATTCAACATTTCTTGCATGAATGGTTTCTAACATGTATTGTAAATGTAAATACTGTAAGAGATTAATTAGCAGTTTAAGATCTACAAGTAGATGTGGGAACTAGGGTAGGTGTATAAGCATAGGAGGGGTCTAGCAGTTAAGTGAAATTATTATAAGAGATTAAGAACTGTAATTAAGTTTGAACAAAAATCAACAACATTTTCAACTTTATTGTTATAAAACATAAATTGTTTACACGAATTAATGACTCAAGTTGGCAAGACTAGATTTTTTTTTCCCTTCTATCTCTAGGTCTTCCAACTTTGCATCTTAATTTGAAGCAAAGGACCAAATTAATCTCTACTTATTTTTGTGGCATAAGTAGCTTATAATCATTCAATTGTCAAATGTACTTGTACCTAAATGGCTATGATCTTTAGTCTTGGGATCAATTCCAGCAACTTTAAGTTTTCAACTTCTCTTTTATTCCAAAGGAAAGAAATGTAAATTATATTTGGTTTCAAATTTTTATTTTAAATTAGCCTAATTTAGGCTCTTCATTTTTACTTTCAACACATCAGTCCTAATTTATATTTTTGTTTTCTCACAATTCAGTAGAATTTGTACCCAAATAATGAGTATAATTAAATTATCCTTCAATTAAATAATATCTTATCTTTTACCATCAAAGAATTCATTTATTTTGTTCACCATTAGTGAAGATTTTCATGATTTCGTGTTAATTGTTCTGGAAATTGGTGATTGTTATTAGGGCTAAACAACTAAATCGTCAAACTGCAAAATCGAATAGAAACTATTCTTCTTCTTTTTTGAAACCGTTGGTTTGGATCCACGTAGTTTCGACAACGTTTTGATTTTGAACTGAACCAAATTGCTTCGAAATGATTTTGTTTAGGTTTCAATCTTTGTAAAATGTTTCAAACCATCAAACTGTTCACAAAAAAAATGTAAATTAAATTAATTTAAATTTTATCCAACTCAATTAAAACTAAGTGCATCATAGTTAAAAAATTACATTCATATTAGACATAACCCAATGAAACTTTATCAAAATCGACAATTATCCATCCCGATTTGTTAATTAAGTCATACACAAATATTCATCAATCATCACAATTCTAAATGCTAAACCCTCAAATTGGATAAAGTCTGAATACTATATTCATCAACCGTCCATTACAATTGAGTAGAAAATTATATCTAAATTTTACTTCAAACTCACACATTTCTTGTTCCTTTAACTAATAATTTTTTTGAATTTCATTTTCAAGCTAGTTTATCTAAATTTTCTTATTTTTGGTAACTGTTTGCTTTGATTTATTAGTAGTTGTGTTGTTTTGTTCTAATTTATGTCGAACTATCTTAAATTTTTAATGGACAGTTTTTAGTATAATCATTCAGTTAATTATTTACATTTTAATTTGGTTTCTAGAATTTACTATTTATTGCTAAAATAATTTGATGGATTACTTAAATGGTAAGATTTGACCAATAAACCTTTCAACATATTACTTTGACGAAAACTGAATGTAAATAAGTACAAGATTGTCACCCCGCATTTGCCAAAAATGTATTGACTATTCAAATACCCACAATTATTTGAGTCTGCATTCTCCATTAGTGGTCAGATTCTTGATTCTCCTATAAGATATTTGAGTGCAGATATGATCAATAAGGTGATTTGCTCTAAATATTGTTGCATAGTAACTAAAAACTTATAGTGATTCGTTAAAATTTGAATGAGGTAGAAGTGTTGAATTATTCACAAAAAGTTATAGAACGTATTATCACATTTGATCTTTTTATTCATTTTATTTTATTTTTTATTCTATATCATTTAACTATAATAATTAATAAATGAATTAATGTACTATATTTTTATCTTTACGGAAAAGAGTGAACCTTGTATTACAATTGCATATGTTATGTCAATTATTATCAACTAACATGTTAAAATATAATTTATCATGTTGTTGTATTACAATAATTAGAATTATAGAATTTTGGATTGTAATATTTTTAATAATACTATATATGTTTTAACATGGAATTTTAGAATAATATTTATGATTTAACAAATTCAATATATGATATTTTTTTCTTTGCTAAATCGTGGTTTTAAATCAAGTCAAACCGAAATTAGTGGTTTGGATTGGTTTGATTTAGAAATTGAAATTTCAAATTGTTTTAAATGGTTTGATTTGAAAATTTATTACAAACCATCTAAATCGAACCCGTATACACTCCTAATTGTTATAAAAGAATTTGGCATATTCTTCTTGTATTGCAACAATTCTTCAGAAACAACTTAGCTCTATGTAAAATGTGTAGTATCTAAATCAAATTAAGAAGTTTCATCACTAATATGATTAATTAATTCTTGGGTCATATTTAAACCTCAAATTAGGTATTATCTCCAAAATATTTGGAATTTACTTTCGCTAAAAACAAAATTGAGATTTCTTCAATCCCATGTCTATTTTATATGAAACGTGAAGATGTAGCATTTTCCCACAACCAGACAAACCACTGTTTGGATCCCAAATTCTGGCAGAAAAATATTTTAAGTAAAACACAATTTTTATACCATACAAACATACTTGTGAAAATCGACATTAAAAAATCTATTGAAAAACAATTACAATGAAAATAAGTTTTCGTTCACTGTACATTTCCTCTTCAATGAAGCATGATTTACTTATATTAGGTCCAAACAGAACCTTAAATTTCGGGAATAAAATTTCTTTTGCAAACCCTAAATCTCTCATGCATCATGGCACCTAGTCTACATGCCTATAAAATTCCGTGTAATTCTCGAGTATCCAATGATGCAACTTGCAAGTTGTCATAAAAAAATAAATACACGTTTTCTTTCGGTGACTGTAAGTTATTCGAAAGATGGGGGACCAAATTGCAAAATGTAAGTGTGTATATATATATATATCGTAGGTCAGTTTGAGGCCGGCGTGGTCCGTATACGTATCAACTACTAATCACTCTATTAAATGACCTATATGCCCTTTTACTGTTTATAGTCAACCCCTCAATTAATAAAGTTTTTAATTATCTTACGAAGATGCCCTCCTTTCCTTTATGTAGTTACCAGAATGGTCCCCTCAAAATCACTCTAATTATATTGTAATTAAAAGTGTTTTAATCACTTACCATTTGATAATAATAATACATTAAAATTATTCAACTCAATAATTTAAGGCGGTTAGGTTTTAAATTTATCTTCAATTATTGTAAATTGGTTTAATTTCCTAGAAACCCTAGTTTATGTACAATGTATAATTTGATTCACTCTACGGATTTGGATTAACTAGTGAAATGTTCTAGATTTTTAGTTGGATCGTGTTTGTTTAACGAACTTGCAAAATAAATTTGGCTATCTAAATGAAATTCGACCTGAAATTGAACCCATAATAATCCAAGAAATCCCTCAAGAAGAGTTGTGCCACATCGAAAAACCTCGAATTTAAGTTAAAAACTTTACCCCTATTTGATGGTCGTTATTTAAGAAAAATGTTGTTTTGAATAATAATTTTTTGAAGAATATGTGATTGAAAAATTGGGAAAAATTTTAAGTTTACATGTAAAATATTTTATTGTGTGAATGTGCGATTAAAAATAAATAAGAATTTTTTTTTTTCAAATAATGATTATCAAACATGGCTTAACAGTCAAAGCATAGCATGTGAAAATAATTGTGACCCTAGATTTAACTGTACATTATAATGTAAAATATTTACTTATTAATTCATGTTTTATACAAAGTAATTTATACCTATAGTGGCAGCAGAAAATTTTTTAAAAAAATTGCATTATCGATCCTTAATATATCATTCAATTAACAAGTCAATCTCCAATCCTTAAAAAAGACTAATTTTGTAAAAACTTTTCATTATATTTGCACCATTAATGGAAATTGAACTAAGCTCTGTTAAATTGTCAAGTGACTCTCACACGCATAACTTTATAAAGTTATATCAGTCATTAGAAATTAATTATTCTTTTAGAAATTGAAGATCAACAAGATATTCGGAAGATAGGTTGAGGATGATTGGTTGAAATATTCTGGTAAAAGGGAAAGTAACAAAAATTGAGCTCGGGATCGGATCTCCGGATAATTACATGTTAATTAGTTAATTAAATGGACAGCGACATAAAGTAGCGGGGTTTCCGGTGCAAAGGACAATAGGAGAAAAAGCTGCTTGATCGACACGTGGCACCATTCATAGCCGTTAATCCTCATGCAGATGTCCAACACCTTTGGATTTCTTCCCTTCAAGTTGATGATTATGTAGAGAGAGAAAGAGTCTCTTTGTATGTGTGTGAAAGAGAAAGAAAAAGAGAAAGAGAGCGAGAGTAAACAGAAAAGAAGCAAAGGTTCTTTCTGTGGGTAAGACTTAAATTGGTGGTTACAAAGGAAACAGAGAGAGAGGGAGAGTTTGTAGAGAGAGAAAGCTGAATGCTTTTAGAAGCCATGGCGGCGTGGCAGAGCTGTAATTCTGCGTCTTTAATGCAAACGACACAGCAACAGAATTGAAGGAAGGGAGGCTGTGATTAATCTGTCTGTCCCCAAAAGTCACCTCTTAGAACAAGAGAAAAAAAGCTGCAATAAACCCTTTTCCCCAAAACAATTAAATTTGGAAAATTCAAATCACATGCAAACATTCATTTATTATTTTAGTCACAAATGACATAATTCATTCAAAAACCCGCCCAGAATTTTGTTTTGTCTGACTTATATACATACATGTATACCCACAATTCAAGAAACCAAAACAGTACCCAGAGAAATTAAGGCGTGCCCTTATTATTCTTGGGTCATTTTCAAGGCTGTTTCGCGTTTCTGTTATGGATTGTCAGTCCCAATTGAAGTCTAGAAAAGGATTAGAGGTAGTGTCAAAATGGCTGGCTTTTTCTCACTAGGAGGTGGTGGTGGTGGTGGAAGAGGCGGAACCAATAGCAGCAATCAAGAACAAGAAAGCAGTAGCCACCACAACAATCCACCCTCAGAAATCAACCCAGAAAGCTGGTTTTTGTTCAGAAATGAAGATATACCATATAAAAGCTTCGAACTTTGGCAGAACCACCCAAATCAGCAAGAAAATCAACATTTCCTTCAGCGGCAGAATCAGAATCCGCTTCAAGATCTCTATGCATCAGCAGGAGGATTAGCAGTTGGGCCGAGTCGAACCGGCTTTGAAATCTCGAATGATCCTCCGAGGTCGGGATTTCTTATGATGAGGAGCAGCGGCGGAGCTGGTGGTAGTGGTGGTGGAATTAGCTGCCAGGATTGTGGGAATCAAGCGAAGAAAGATTGTTCTTACATGAGATGTAGAACTTGCTGCAAGAGCCGAGGGTTTCAGTGCCAAACTCATGTGAAGAGCACTTGGGTTCCTGCTGCCAAAAGAAGAGAGAGACAACAACAGCTTGCTGCCTTGCAAGAACAACAAGAAGAACACAATCAGCAACAGCCACACAGAGACACTGCAAAAAGGCAAAGAGAAAATCCAAATGCTTCTTCCTCTCTCGTTTGCACTAGAATACTCGCTGACACGTCAGGTAAACCTGATTCCACTCGACTCGACTTGACCCCATTGAGTAGACTGCATAATAATCAAGATTTCAATTGCTTAGATTGCGCGTAGTGAAATCGACCTCCATAGTCATAGTAAAACTAAAATCCATCAGCTTTTCCTTTTCTATTTCCCTTTTCTTTTCCAAATACTGTTTTTCTGTATTCCTGACAAAAGATTGACAGGAAGACCCTATTCCTTCCAACCCCACCCTACCTCAATGAAATTTTGTTGTTATTATTATTATTTATTTTATTTTTTTGGTACTGACAAAGTTTTTAAAACAATTTACATCATGTATGCACTACGTTTATTTGATTTTTGTAGGTTTAGAACTTGGGAATTTCCCATCGGAAGTAAATTCGGAGGCGGCTTTTCGCTGCGTTAGAGTAAGTGCCATTGATGATGCTGAAGATCAGTACGCATATCAGACTGCTGTTAACATTGGTGGGCATGTATTTAAGGGAATTCTATACGATCAAGGCCTTGAAAACCAGTACATCGCCGGAGAGACCTCATCTGGTGGTGGAAGTGTCAGTGCAGGAGTTCAACAACTTAATTTAATAACTGGAACTGCCAATTCTGCCGCCGCCACCTCCGCCGCCGGTGGTGGCTCTTCATCTTTTCTTGACCCTTCTTTATACCCAGCTCCGCTCAACACATTCATGGCTGGTACGCAATTCTTCCCACCTCCAAGATCCTGAACAACAACCTTAACTTTGTGTCCCTAAAACATCATTTTACCGCGATTTGAGGTAGAAATTATGGGGGAAAAAAATAGTGCGCAAATATAAAACGAAAGGGGAGGAAATTAACGATTGAGGGGATCATCTGTTTATGCATTATTTGTACTTGAAATTTCGATGCACACAACATTGAACTAGTCTACTTCCCTTTGAAATACATAAAGTTTGATTCTGCTATAAAAATGGGCGTGCTGTTTTTATTTGTTTGTTTTTATGGCTACTTTTTAAATTATTAGTTGAATTTCTATACGCTTTTCTAGTCTGTGTTGAAATTCGAGCTGCTTTTTATTATTTTCCTCCTAATTTACGCGTAATTGCCTGCTTGAATTAGTGACTCAAAGGGGTTGCTTATATATATATATATACACACACACAACTCATCATTTGTTGTATAAATGAAAAGGAAGTCTAAATCTATTGAATTGTAATATTCCTAGTTGAATTATGCTACACAAATACAAGGTGCACGTGCATAAACACAAGATTGGACAGTTTGGAAAATAAAAATAACAAATGCCCAATCATCTGTTGTCAAGTCGATTTTTTTTTCTATCTTTAAGTCTGGATGAACATCATATTCCTCCATAGTTTATGCATCTACAGAAGAATATGATGCAGCGGTCAATTCATCCTCCTTAGTCCCAAAGAAAGGCCATTCAATATTTTGAAAGCATTTCTTGATTTTTGTGCTTTTATTGACATTAATTCCTAGTATAGTTACCATTATTCTCTGCATGTGACCATTCTTCCGTTTATTATCTATTTGAAGCTGTCTATGATACATATACCATACACTTGATTGTTTTTAATATCCCTTCTTGGTAAGTCATTAAGATTTATCATGTATTGTCTAGATTCTATGTGGTTTTACACATTAGTGCTTATCTCAGATTTAAATTATGTTTTGGTAAGAGGCAAAGATAAGTGCCACCGAAGTTAAGGGAATGAATGAATGAGACCTTATGTTCGTGTGTGTTTGATAGATAGTATATAAGAAACAAGATTTTAGCTTCTTGTTCTATCTAATCGAATGTTCTATACCAAACATTGTCGGCCATATAAGAATTTCCATGAATATTAGTAGAATAGTAGCTTAATTGTTATATTGTTGTCTCCATTTTAAGTTTGCAAAAGGAAAAATCTTCCTGCTAGATTGCTGATAGACATGCTAGGTCTTATTACATGGTGAAATTTTAGAGGAGACACTTAAACTTTAAATGATCTGTAATTAGAACCAAGGTTCATATTTCTGGGGAGGGGAAAGGATAAAACTAAGCTAAAAATTTGAAGTCCCTATTTTCCTGTTTGTTTTGAAAAGAGTCTAATTGGGAAGTGCTATATAGTTGCTCTACTTAATTAAATAATTAGTTCATAAAAATGTATAAACATTTAAACATCAAGGCCTCACCTGATTTTATATTAGGAATTATTCATAAAAATATAAGAGAATTATATTGAAAACATAAATATAGGCCTTAGTACATTTACAAAACAATACCTTATGCATCTGCACCTACTTAAGAGATTGTCGCACTACGTCTTAAATTAGCATAAAAGTCAAAACGGTTACTGAAATTATCAATAGAATTGTTCCTCTTTTCTTCATTCTTGCCCTTTATCTAAATTGCTTTCATACCTAAATATGTGATTTTTGAATTTATTCTAGTTCAACAAGATTCAGGAAAATTTCCTTTAGTTTTTACATAATTGATGAGTAAATGTAGCTAGATTAATGATAAAGCGATGCATCCTAGCTAGCAAAGAAAACAAATTGAACAGTTGAGATCCACTGAGTTTATATTGGGTAAAAGGCGAGTTTTTAACTGTTTATTTGTCTTCAAAGAAATTAGCAAAGAGGCATATGGTTTTGTTCCTTCTCCACTATGAGGAAGCTCCTAAAACTCTCTACTGCCTCCCTCCCTCTTGTTAGTTATATGCCTTTAAGGTCATGCTTCCCAGGCTTCAATCCTTTGCACAAATCAAGTCTACTGGGTGCAAATAATCTCTTATAGAAATTTTGTAGAACTTATAATATTTGATAATGTATAAATGAGCACAAGTTATGATGGATCAAAGCAGCTAGCTCGTGAAAGGAAGTGTCTGTAAATTTACTAGAGAAAATTATTTAAATTTTTCTCTGCAAAATTTACTAAACGTCCTTGATCTAAATGGGATGCCCAGAAAACAATTGGATGAAAAATGAAGATTTGAATGTTGTCATCAATAGCTACATTGTATAAATAATTACATGACATCCTAACTTTGATAGTTGTATTCCTCATAACTTATACTTTCTTATCAAGAATTACTCATCCGTTCCTTCATTGTTTCTTAATCACATTCTTGCATCACCCATGCTTCACCATAGGAGTGTGAGCAAATTCATATACATTAGTTCAGGAAAAAAAAATGAGTTTTACTGATTTTTTATTGTTTCCAGCAATGAATGAGGGTACATGACTGCTAGAAATCAGTAAGTAGGCAAACTATCTTTGGCAAATAATATTAACAGTAACATTCCAGTAGAAAACTAAGAATCTGATTGTGAACTTTTTATGTGTTTCCTACTTTTATTTTTCTACCTTTTGTGGTTCAAGACTTGTAAGATATCCCTCTCTTTTTTAATTCTAGTAAAGAGGTCTTATATTTTTTAATCCATTTGTTTCCAGCATATGGTGGGACAAAACACACGTTCTCGTCAAGCTTGAACCTTTGAAGATACAAGGTTTTCAAGCTGTTTGCATTTTTGTCTGGTTTTGTTTTGCTAATACCTTGCAAGTTCGTGATGCATTTAGAATATTGTTGAGTGTCTTCTTTTCTCATTCATTTTGCATTCACGTGGTGTTATTTTCAGTTGTATATGATAGTTAGTCTAGAGCACTTATGGTAATTTGAATGGTCTAGATTCTATCTAATTTGATGGCAGCATTGATTGGTTTAAATCCTAGAGTGGAGAGAAGCCAGGAGGGTTAGACACAAGTAGGACTTTGTGGTTTTTGCTAAGGGTACATTCTCTACTGTGCTTTATGAAATAAGGTCTCGTTTGAGTAAAATGAAAAATTTCTTTACCAGTGGACGAAATTTACCCTTCATAAGTTTTAGAGAGCGTGCACTATGACTTCAGTAAAATGTACGTTTCTCTTGATAGGTAAAAGGAATTCAAACCTTCAAGATGTCAGAAAATCAGTGGTACTGCCAAATTTTCCATGAGTTGCTTCTTTTCTTTCTTGCTTAACCCTCTTTGCTTGTATTGAACGGAAACAAGAATGGCTTTACATTAGATAAGATTTTAATTTCTATTTTTTCCCTAAAGACATGGACAATCCTTCAATGAAGACCTAATGAGAGGTTGAATTCAAACACACTAAGATCTGTGGCTTTCTCCTTTTCCCTTCGAGAAGAAAAAGTCATTTTCTCTGTCGAGTACTACCAGTCGAGCTTACAGTTCTGTCATTATTTGGGCTTTCTTATTTACTACTAGCATATCTCTTCAAAAGCGAAAGGTAGTAGTTAATTAGTCTTTCACACGCATGGAGGGTCAGGCATTATTTAACACGCATTTTGTGAGGGTCGGTTACCCCGAGTGTCAAACATTTTCGGGCAAAGTAACATTTTCCTAAATAGAATGCTGTTGTAATTGGTTTTTAGGGAGTTCCAACACTAAAATTAAGTTCAAGAAAATAATAATTATTTAACGTGTTCTATATTTCATGTGCTCTCTTCGTACTCATGCAAATTCTACAATGTTTATTCATTACTCAACTGTAACATGTCTAATCCCTGATCGAAATTCTATCACGACGCTCATTTAATTATCAGTACATAAACGTGTCAAGAAAAGACGATATAGAACAACGATATTTGTTGTCATTAATCGAATATACAGAAAAAGCATGCAGCATGAATGTCAGTCTCCCTAGTTTGGTAACATGTAGCCGAAAGGAGAACAATGTTTTCCCTTTCTCAATGCTGATACCGTACAATCAATTTACTTTGGTAAAGAAATATTTAATAATAATAAAGGACAGAGTCTCATATTTTGTGACAACAGCATTAATATCTTTAACTTTTCTCGTATTTTCAAGACCACCTCGAGCTACAAAAAGGTGCCCTCTTAACTCTTCTTCTGCATGAAATTGAAAATTGTCCGTATTTCGATTTTTCAATATTCCTTGCACTTTTCTTTACTTTCTGCTTCTTGTCGTCTGCCACCCGTTGCCCCTGCCAATCAATTTTTTAATCAAAATTTAATTCCAGTTGCAACTTTATGGAACTTGTATTATAATGCTTTTTGAGTTTTTTTATTTTTTGAGTAATTAATTATGAAATAAAACATATGCATGCATGAACTAATTTGTTTGACTCAAACTTATCAATGGCGCATGTCACTCTACGTCCATTAGAGTTACTAAGAGGGTCATGTCACGTTACAAAGTCACTAAAAGGTGAATTGTGTGGCAAGTAGTCGACCCGCTTGCCTACATTTTGTCAAATCGTGCGGAGAGAAAGAGAGAGAGGAATGTGTAAAATGAACTTGGATACACAATGCAACCAGTTGGCATGTTAATTAGAAGCACAAGAAAGCAAGGTAGCGTTGATTGCTCCACTTTTTCCATGGGAAATGGAATTTCCAATTTTTGGTTGTTTGATTGTCCGAAACTTTCCATAAAATTGAAATTCTCACTTTCTTGCCACGTCAGCATTTTTCATGAAATCATGGAATTGGAATTCTCACCAAAATGGTGAGAATTGGAATTCACAGTTACTGTAGCGATTTTTTAATTTTTTTTTCTTTTTTTCTTTCGGCCATGGAAATAAATTCTAAAAATTATTGTAAGAAAATATTTTCCTTTTACTGACAATTTTCATGTAAAACAAAGTCAAATGAACACTAAAAGATAAATGATTTATTTTTTATTTTTTATTTTTGACAATAGAAACAAATTTCATACCCAATACTAGTAAATTTTATCTCTTTAATTGACAATTTTCATGTAAAACAAAGTCACACGAACATCAAAAAATACTTTATTTCAACATTTTTCACGTGGAAAATTATACCAATCAAACACAATCAACTTGCACTCATAACTTTGTTCCTCTATATTTTGTAGCTAGGTTAGCATCCACATTAATCAAATGTACATATGTTTAAATATGACTATATGATCTCTCTACACCAACCTAAAGGTTAAAGAGGGT